AGAGAGAGACAGAGAGAAAGAGAGACAGAGACAGAGAGAGACAGAGAGACAGACAGAGAGACAGAGAGATTGTCTGAATCAGGCCCTGCAATTTCTTATCCTTTTTGTCATTTGACACATATTTATTGAACATACTCTTTATTCTATGGCCAGGCCTTGTCCTAGATGTTGGAAATATAAACATGTCCCTGTTCTGTAGGATTTTAAAGGTTGTTCAAGGAGACTAAAATAAACCACATATCAGCAGATTGAGCCAGGTAGAAGTCTGTGGGGCTGGGAAGAATCACTCTCCGAAAGCATGGATATTAATGTCCTGTTTCATGTTGGCAGTTTACAAAGTATATGCACTGCTCTTAATTAATTCCTTCACTGAGGACCTGGGAGGCACTATTATTATTATTAGTAGTAGTATTAGTATTAGTAGTATTAGTAGTAGCAGCAGCACTGGAAATTGAACTCAGGATCTTGAGCTCATCAGGTAGGCGCTTGTGCCATTGAGTTATATCCCCAGCCCCAGAACATGGGAGGCAGAACTCATTATGCACATCTTGCAGATGAGGAAACCAGACTGAGTGACAAGGTCAGTGAAGCTATAAACCTGTGAACCGGGCAGCAGCCCTGTCCCATAGAGCCAAGGCTGACCTGGGAGACCTTCTTGTTTGTCTGTCATTCCAGACTCTGTGAGCTTGAGTCCTACGGTCTCCTCTCTAAGCACAGTGTCCTCATCTGTAGAGTATTGAAAACCCGAGATCTCTGACAGTGCTGATGTTCCCTGGACAAGGAGGGGAGGAAGTAAAGATTTATGACTGAGCTGGAGGTTCTGGGAGAATTGGTTAAATGATTGACCTTGGACAAGTCAAGTAGCCTCAAGGACCCTGTGACAAAGTGGAGGCAATAAACCTGGTGGAGGTATTATGAGGATTAAGTACAATAACACATGTGGATGAAGGTGTCGTTGGGCAAAGACTTACATGTCAGTAAATGGTGGCAATGGTTATTGTTTGATCTAAAAGCCAATGTTGGGCTTTTCTTTATCCTAGCAAAACAAAGCTCCATTCTGGCCTCCCAGAAAAATAAGGTCTCCTTTTATAAAGTTGCTGCAGGATGTGTTCAAATATGTCTTGAAAATCAGAAGTAGCTGGGTACAGTGGAAGGAAAGCATCAGACAGACAAGGCTTCATAAAATTCTAGTTTTGCTGGGGGCCTGGCCCTAGCTCAGGCCTTTAAGTGGCTGCTTCCACAAAGCTGTCAGCCTCAGGTTGCTGGAGTTCGAACCTCACACCTCTCCAGCTGGCCAAAAGTGCCCTGAAGGCATTCGAGGAACAAAAAAAAAAAAAAAAAAATTCCAGTTTTGCTCCTTCCTAGACATGTGGCCTGCGCAAGTCCCTTCCCCTCACCTGACTCAGCCTCTCCTTGCACAAAGCCGGGAGAATTCCCCTTCCGCAGGATTGCTCTGAGGCCTAATGCTTCCAACACAGCACGTGGCATGCAACAGGCATGTAGGAAGATGCCAGGAATGATGGGTCAGGTCTCTGCTGGGAGTACATGTGTTTTGGTTATTTTACTAGAGGTCTGTGCTCTCTGCTCCCAGGTCTCCAGACCACTGAAGATGCCAAGTTTTATGCCCTTTCGACCAGGTTTAAGCCATTCAGCAATGAGAATGAGACCTTGGTGGTTCAGTTTTCAGTCAAACACGAACAAGGCATTGATTGTGGTGGTGGATATGTGAAACTCTTTCCTGCCACCCTGAACCAGGAAGATATGCACTCAGAATCTGAGTATTACATCATGTTTGGTAAGAACTCTGATAGAAATCACTGGCAACCTGCAAGGTCCTGGTAAGAGCCCCTACGGTTGTAGAAAAGAATTAGGAACCAGGGATTGAACTCAGACCCTTGCGCTTGCCAGGGAAGTACTTATTCTACTGAGCCACCTCCCTGGTCCAAAAAAAAAAAAAAAAACTATTGCCAAGCATGGTAGTGCACACTGGTAAATCCCAGCATTTGGGAGGCAGCAAGATTACTGTGACTTTGAGGCCATTCTGGGCTACAAAGTAAGTTCAAGGCTGCCTGAACTGCATAGTGAGACCCTGTCTCAAAAAAAGAAAAAACACTAAATAAATAAACAAATGTTATATTAGTCAAACTAAAAGCTACTTCTCTGCTGATGCTGTCCCTGCAAGAGTCTTTCTTTCTGGTTCTCAGAATCGCTCTTCCTCCTCACTTCAGGCCTGAGGGGCACTAGCCCTACCGTTGCTAGCCCTGAGCGCAGCACTGCATCTTTTGTCTTCCCCTTGTCCTGTACTCAACTTTGTAAATAATCCTTTTACTAAACCCTTCTCAAATTATCCTTATTTTGAATTTTTTCTTGCTGGGAACACTAATTAATACACAGGCGGGGTTGGTCTTGGGTCTTGGCCTCAGACTAGGCAAAATGCCTGAAGTTTCTGTGAACTCATGCTTTGGGGTTTAATTTCCAGGCCCTGACATCTGTGGCTTTGGCAATAACATCGTGCAGGTCATTCTCCAGTACCAAGGGAAATACCACACAAACAACAAGACCATCAAGTGCAGGGTGAGTGGGCTGGCTGGCCCCTGGTGCCGGAGGAAGAAGAAGCATTTTATATATGTTATTTCATTGAAAGTTTAGAACGCAGACCTAGGGAAGTGCTGTTAGTTGTAGGAGTTCACAGAGCAGTTCATCCAAAAGTCAAAGAAGTTATACACATTCTCAGTGTTTGGCATAGCTCTGTTCTTCCTGCCAGACATTGGAGGGGCTAGGGGAGCTGAGGAGCGCTGGGCTTAGAGACTTGGGGTTGGTTTATCTTCAAAACAGATTAAAGTCAGTGGGAGATAGCACATCTATGATGGCAGCACTTGGGGGAGGCCAAAGCAGGAGGATTGTTGCAAGTTTGAGAACAGCCTGGGCTACATAGTGAGTTCAAGGTCAGCCTAAACTGCATGGTGAAAACTTGTCTCAAAAAAAGAAAAATACAAGACCAGACCAGCAGTCAATCCTGAACCAGCAGCAGTTGTGTCATGTGTCATTCATTGGGCATGGATGACAGGTCGTGCTATCTGCCATGGCTTGCTGGAAAGAGCACAGGCCTTCCGGTCACAGCAGTCTGAGACTACGGCCTTCTTTGTCTGCCTGGTTTCACTGCATACAACCAGTGTCCAACCACGTTCCATGCTCAGAAGGGCCTTATGCTTGATTTTCATGTTCTGCTCTTAATAATTTTGGAGCAAGGTATCCCACACTTTCTTTTCTCTTAGGCCTATATATTACATGCCCAGTCCTGCCCCAAGTTTTAAAGTATTTTCATTATACCAGGAAGAAACTCTGTACCTCTAAGCTGTCACCCTCCATCCTCCCTGCCTCCTGTCCCACTGTGCAAAGCCCCAGTAAACTTTCTCTCCCCATATATATTTGCTCACCTAAACACTTGTAAGTGGAACCATACAATCCGTGACCTTCTGTGACTGGCATCTGAGACTCATTCATATTCATGCTAATGTGTGAACTAGTACATCAGCACCTTCCCTTGATGAATACAACTTCCTCGTGTGGACCTGTAGCTTTTGTACCTTTTCATCAGTTGCTGGACATTTGGATTGTTCCCAGTTTAGTGCTGTTGTGAATAGCACTGTACAATATTCACATAGACATTTTTATGTGGACTGTATTTTAATTTCCATATATCCAGGAGTGGTGGGGTTGGGTCATATGGTACCTCTATGATTAACCATTCAAACAAGTGTACTAGGGTCTGGGACTGTATCCTTTAAATGCATGAATTGTATGGTATGTAAATTATATCTGAATTTATGAAAAAAGAATTTTGGTTAAAAAAAAAAAAAGAAAAAGAAAGTAACAACAAGTGAGAGACATCTAGGTTGGCTAGAAGAGAGCCCTGGATTTCATCAGCAATCCAAAGGCCTTACCAAATGTTAACTGCATACTGAGTCTTGGGCAAGAAACAGCAAACCAAACACGGCCTCTGAACGAAATGAATTCGCTGTCGAATGAAGGCAAGAAGGAAGCGATGGAAAGGGACTCCCCAGTCTGAGAAAGGTCTGTGAGAGTCCAGGGGAGGGCCCTACCCCACCTGGAGGCTTAGGCAATGAGTTTAAGAGGAATTTTCCCTGGGTTAAGGTTTGAAAGATGAGTGTCACCTGGTCTTATGGAGGATGTGACAATTTTACAGAGAATTAAAACCTTTGAAGAGGTAAATGCATGAGAAAAGCCAAGGAGTCTTGAGATCAAGTGGCACTGTGATGGGATTGGGGAGAAGAAGGTCCAATGTCCCTATAGGATTAACCAGAGAAAGAGGAGGAAGAATGTGGTAAAAATAATATTTGGGGGCTGGGGAATGGCTCAGTGGGATAAGCGCTTCCCTGGCAAGTGCAAGGGCCTGAGTTCAATCCCTGGTTCCCCTAAAAAAAACCAACCAACCAAACAAACAAACAAACAAAAAAACCCAAAAAAATAATGTTTGGCTTTTTTTTTTTTTTTTTTTTTTGAGATAGGGTTTCACTATGTAGTTCAGGCTGGCCTTGAATGCACTCTGTAGCCTAAATTTGCAGCAATCCTATTGCCTCAACCTCCTGAGTGCTGGGATTACAGGTGCATACCCCATCCCTGGCAGTGTTTGTAAGTATGTGTTTTGGGACACATTTAGTGCTTGAGATCTATGATGCCCAATACAGGACTGAAATGTCTGTACTATTTCCTTTATAGATCAATAAAGACACTCACCTATACACTTTGATCATTCACCCCAATGCTACTTATGCAGTCAAAATTGACAATGAGCAAGTGACATCTGGGGAACTGGAGGGCGACTGGGACTTTTTGCCTCCTAGGAAGATAAAAGACCCGTATGCCCGGAAACCAAGGAAATGGGATGAACGTCTTCAAATAGAGGATCCTGAAGACAAGAAACCCACGGTCAGAAAGTGTTTGGTTGGGAAGCAGGTGGGATCTCAGCTCTAGTGATAGAAGGAGAAGGAGGAGGAAGAGGCTAGAAACAGTACACTGGGAGCCAAATTGCTCAAAGAGATGCCTGCTAATGACTGATATGTGGGCCGGGGATTTAGCTCAGTGGCACAGCACCTGCCTGGCAAGTACAAGGTTCTGAGTTTGATTTCTGGTACCACAGACTGGTATGAAGAGAGACCTGGGGGAGTAGAGCAGCGATTCACATTTGTGGAGGATTTATTATTTTTTCTATTTATTTTATTTTATTGTTGATACAGGGTCTCGCTACGCAGTTCAGACTCATAGTGACCCTCCTGTCTCAGCCTTCCCAGTGCTGGGATTACCACCACCAAGCCCAATTTCAGGGCTGAAACAGCATGCCCAGGGTTCCAGAGCTGACATAGCATGTGGTACCAAGGACCAAACTTAGGACCTTGTGCTTTCCAGGCATGAGGCTGGACCACTGAGCTATCTCCCCAGGCCCTGTTGAGGGTCTACTGATCCTTCTGATGATCTCTGTGACTTTTGTGGATAAGGAAATTTAATATTTAGAAAATAAAGTGACTACTAGGTGTGGTGGTGCATGCCTATCATCCTAACACTCAGGAAACTGAGGCAGGGGGATCACCACAAGTTTGAGGCCAGCCTGGGCTATATAGTGAGTTAAAGTCCAGCCTGGTCTATAAAGCAAGACCTTGTCTCAAAAAAATAAGTAAATAAAAAAGAAAGGAAGAGAAGAAAGTGATTGGCCCAAGCATACACATAAAGGAACCAAGATTTGACCCTGTATCTTTTTGGGTCTAAAGTTACTGATATGGTGAGTATGTGGTGTATATCAATTGATTTGTTTCTGTTCTAGAAAACTGTTCTGGATGCAGCTATGAGTAGGGCGATCTTCACCCCCTAGGGACTCAGAGTGTAAAGGAGCAGGCAGACAAGAAAACAAAGATGATGCTTTGATTTCTCTGGTCCTGAAATTCAAGGAAATCAAAACCCGCGAGAACCCAAAGTCAACCTGGGATAGGCGTTAGGTGGTGATGTGAGAAAGAAGAGACAATGTGAAGTGATCAGAAGAACCTAGAAGCTGGGGGCTGGTGAGATGGCTCAGTGGTCTAAAGCACCTACTTAGAACAAGCTTAGCAAAGCACAGGGACCGCGGTTCAATCCCCAGCACCACATGCCAGCCAGCCCCGCCCCCGGTGGGCTGAGCTGGCCACACACACACACACACACATACATACATAAAATTTAAAAAAAAAACCTAGAAGCTGGGATGCTTTTACACAGGATTATTATAATACCTATGTGTAAAGGTGGTGAAGATTAAAAGAGCTAGTTGTGCCTCTGGTCACAAACTAAATTCTTTCCATGATTCTGGATGCAACCAAATTACAAGCATAGATATCACTCTCTATATAATACAGTATCTGGCATATAACAAGTTCTTTTTTTTTTTTTAAACTCAGAATCAAACTCAAGGCCCCACACTTGCCAGGCAGGTACTACACCACTGAGCTAAATCCCCAGCCCAAATTTCATAACACATAACACATATATGGTAATAACTGACTAGGTTTCAAATAAAACATTCATCACAGCAAGAAAAATAGAAGTCAGCTTGGAGGGGAGATATTTTGAAGCAAGGACACAGTGGTTTGAGGAAAATAACGTGGTTGCACAAAGAACTGAAAGCAACAGTTCAGTATTTCGGGAGCATAAAGGTCAAGATGGGACACAGCAGGAGAAGAGATTAGAAAGGTCTATTGGAACTGAACTGTGAGGGTCTCATCTGTTCTGCTGTTATTCCCTAGGTGGAGCAGGGTCAACCTGGTGCACAGGAGATGCTGGGTCAGGCAGGGCGGCATGGGAACCAGCAGCTGAACTTGTCCTAAAGATGGGCCTGCACAGTGGCAGATAGTGGCCCAGCCTTGTGTGGAGAGAGCCAGCAACTGGCCCCAATTCCAGGGGAGGGAAGTGTGGTCTTGGAATGAAAGCAGATGTGGAGGCTTTCAGCACCATAGAGAAATAAAGGGTGAGGATCCTGCCAGGCCCTGCAGGCTGTCTCAGACAGCAAAACTAGCCATAGACCCTCCCTTCTGGGGCAGGCTGTGCCCCTCACACAGTTAGGGTTAGTTCCAGCAGAAGGCAGAATCTGATTAGCTGGGCAGGGCTGTTTCCTGTAACAGGCAGGTAGCATTCTACCCTGAGTGTGAAGGCCTAGATAGAACCTCGCCTCCCTAATCTATCTCAGGAATGTCAACAACTCTTGACATCCTTACAATGGCAATTAAATTTCACTAGGAACAAACCACATCCAAACCACGCTGATACATGACTGGGGGAAGGGTGAGGTGAGAGACAAGAGCCATTGCCAGCTCCTTTGCGAACTAAGTCAGAGGGATACTGAACACACAGGGGGCCAGAGTTGCCAACAGGCTGGTTCTCTCATTGGAATGGGCCTTTGTAAAATCCTCACCTGGGCCCTCATACAGATGTGCAGGAAATTCTGGGGGTCCAAAGCCAGCTCCCCATGACTGCACATGGGGCCCCAGTTTTATCCCAGACCACATATCTGTCCTCATGATGGGAACATGTCATTTTAGGATTGGGAGGACTTTGAGTTCATCCCAGACCCAGATGCCAAAAAGCCGGATGACTGGAATGAGGCGATAGATGGAGAATGGGAAGGACCCCTAATTCCAAACCTGAAGTATAAGGTGAGAGGGGGGTTGTCTCTCTTTTTAGGGGGTTGTGAGAAATAAAACAGAAGTGAGGTAAAGTTCATTGTAAAAAAAAAAACAACAACAAACAGCAATTCTAGGACTCTGTGGTCATTTTCCTCCACACCCGCAATAGGACTGTGACCTGACCTGAGCGCGGTGGCTGTGCATACTTGGGATCAGGTAGGCTGGTGTTGTCAGTGCTAAGAGGCCAAAGTAGAAGTTCAGGCAGCTCTGGGTAGGGAGCTTAACCAGAGCAGTGGAAAGCTGCCACTCCGAGGAATAGTCTGCATAGGAAATGAATCCGAGGTCAGGTCTGAAAGTCAGAAGGGAGTGGAGAGGACGGGGAGGGCCAGGCACACATCCAAGTCGTTAGGGGAGAGGGCAGAGTTCTTGGCATCCTTAAATGCTGATTCCTGACCTCAAGTCAGATATAAGAATGAACCTGGAACAGGGTGCACACTTGTAAAAGCAGCATACAGGAATCGGTAGTTGACAACTGAGATAAGCATTTTCTTTGGCTGAAGTTTCCTATACCTGGCAGAAAATGATCCTAAATGCCAAACATGTAAATGATGTCAGAGAAGTCAGATTTTTTTTTTTAAACTTGATGTACTAGCTTTTGCAGAAATGGGGCCAGGGCCAGGCTCAAAATTGTCACTGTCATGTCATTTACCCCCCTTAGAAAGAGGAACTTGAGTCTTGTGCATTAATTCAAAAGATAGAGAAAGAAACTCCAGGAATCCTGCTCTGAGTCTTTATGTCTAGCAGACAATTGCTTTCATAAATTGACTGGCCTTTTTTTTAAAATTTCATGAGGTCAGAAGAATGGAAAAATGATAGTGACATGACTCCTCTTTGGTTCTTTGCTTAGGGACAATGGAAACCTCGGATCATTGACAACCCCAACTACCAGGGGGAGTGGATTCATCCAGAAATAGACAACCCTGAATATAAGCCAGACCCTACTCTTGGCCACTATTATAACATCAGTGTTCTCGGCTTGGACCTTTGGCAGGTAAAGTACTCTAGACTCCAGACTCAAAAAGTCACTGATCAACAGTCTTTTTTTGTTTGTTCGTTTGTGGTACCAGGGATTGAATTTAAGACCCTGCACTTGTAAGACAGGGATTAGGCTGCTGAGCTATCTCCCTGGCCCAACAGTCTTAATAGTTCTCACAAAGTGTAAAGAGATACAGGCTAGAAACCTCACACTTGAATAAATCTTGATCTTTCTGAGCCTCAAACTACTCATCTTTAAAATGGGTATTCTTATATTCATCCCAATGATTATAAGAACTAAAATATACTTCACTCCTGCCATGTACCAAGCACTATGTTAAAGACTTTGAGATACCATTTAATTTTCACGTAAATCCTTTATTTCTAAGTGTGGAAAAGAGACTCAAAGAAGTTGAATGATTTGCCTGAAGCTATACATCTGGTAATATGAGCAGAAAAACTAGGATCTAAGGGCAAGTCTTTCTGCACCCAGAGCCAGGATTCTGAAATGTCATGATACTTTTGCTGGTTCCATATCATTTGGGGGGAGTGGTCCTGCGGATAAACAGAAATCAGAAATGTAGTGAAATCTGACACATTCAAATCCCTGCACATATACTGGAAGCAATAACCCCAGCCATGACCCAGCCTCCTTCTCTCTGGCAGCCATCTTTTCCTGGTCCTGACCAGAAGTGAAAGAGGAGGCCTCAGATATTCAGCCCTTCTGAGAGCTGTTCTTTGTATCTCTTTCTCCCGGAGACCTGTTGTGACCCTGATCCCTCTCAGATCTATAGGCTGCATTCTGCTTAGTCCTGGAAGAACTCCCCTGGGGAGGAAGAAAACTCTGTGGGTAGACCCTGGACTGGGATCAGTGCTTTACCCACACTCCCTCCCTTAATTCTTTTTTTTTTCCTCCCTTAATTCTCATGATTCTCTAAGGTAAATATTATCCTTTGTTATGGCTTAATTTAGCATATGAGACCATAGAGATGTAAAAATGCCCCATGATGTGCCCAAGAGCATACATCTAGTGCATGGTAGAGACAGGAAAATTTAAACACAGGTCTGTTGGCCTCCAAAGCCCTTCCGGTAATGACTTTATCCACAGTACAAGGAAGCCTGTGATAACCGCAGCCACTTGTCCCTGCTCATGTCAAGCCAGCCCCCTTTGCCCTTGGAAACCTCTGACTCTGACAAGTGATTTTTGCTGTCTATAGGTCTACAGGTGCCCCCTTTGTAGGCTTTCTTTTCTTCTTTCTTTCTTTCTTTCTTTCTTTCTTTCTTTCTTTCTTTCTTTCTTTTTTGTAGGCCTTCTTGATTTGTTATTACTATTATTATTTTTAATTTCTCACTTTATTTATTTCTACTTTCTCATTTCCTGGCTCAAGGAACCAACATAAGAGTGTAAAGAGGTCATGTATGTAAATTACTGTGTCAGAAAGGGGTTCTGGAGACCAGGGAGGCAGGAAAACATGTGGTTATAGCTTTCTTTCCTTCCTGGCTTATCTGAGGAATGTGGATATAGTTTGCACAAATTCACACTGTTATCTCTCCTTTTTTTTTTTTTAACCTTCTGGCACTGGGGCTGGGAGCTATGACCTTCACAAGAGGGCCATCCCCAGCCCTTTTTATTCTTTTATTTTAAGACAGAATCTCTCTAAGTCACTAAGTCACCCAGCCTGGGTTTGAAGTTGTGATCCTCCTGCCTGAGCCCCGCAGAGTACAGGGGTCATAGGTGAGTGTCCTCACACCTGGCTCAGTGGGCCTGGTGGCACAAAACCTCTCATCACAGCATTTGGGAGGTTGAGGCAAGAGGATCTGTGAGTTTAAGCCCAGTCTGGCTACACAGTGAGTTCAGGCCCAGCCTGAATTCCATAGCAAGACCATCTCAAACAAATAAACAAACAAATGAAACCCAGAAGACTCTCTGTATCTTGTAAACATGTGTGATCAATTACTATACCTAGTCTTGTTTCTTTAAATTGCCTTTCTCCTCCTCCATGGAAGACACTAAGGTACATGTTTTAAACTACTAGATTAAAATTTATACACAGTAATTGCCCTGGATTCTTTCAACCTGTCGAAAAAGGCAAACTTTTTTATTTGAAGAATTTAAACTATGTCAGAGGAGTATTCTTAAAACCTTAATATGCATGTAAATCACAAGGGCACTGGGTATGGTGGTGCATGCCTATAATCCTAGCACTCAGGTGGGAGACTGAGGCAGGAGGATTGCTATGAGTTCAAGACCAGCCTGGGCTGCATAGTGAGACCCTGTTTCAAAAAGAAAAAAAAAATCACAAGGGTAGGTGAAGTTGTACTAAAATGCAGCTTCTGGTCTGGGATGAAGCCCAAGACTCTACTCCTAAAGCTCCACATTGGCTCTCTGTCTTTGTGAGTGTAGCTGTATGCATGCCGTGGTTCTGCAGGTTGCTGGCAGCGCTTGGAGAGGTGACCTTTGCATTTAATTTGTAGTTGGGCTGGGCATTCACAGGTCCTACTTCACCCTTCTACTCAGCCAAGCTGGGGCAATCTGGTTTACCCTCCCATCCCTGCTTTTGGCTGGAAAAGCCAGGTGATTCCAAGCACAGAGAAGGTGAATTTCCTTTTTCTGCCCCTCTTCAGCCCTTGATTTCCATCTCTGAGAACCCAGTTACCCTCCCTGGCCCACCTCTGCCCCCCTTAGGAAGCTGATTGACTTTTCTGCCCCTCTTGTTGTGACCCCTTTCGTCCTGGTTCTGACAACTCCAAACACAATAGCCACCTTTGCCCTTTAGGTGGAAGTGATTGCATTGTTGGGCCAGGACAGAGGTTGGAGAATATAACAGAAAACAAAACCAAAAAAAAGAGTCATAATGCAAAGCTCGTTGAGACCCCTTACATCAAGTGACCTGTGCCATAGCCTCCTGCCAGGAGAACAGCCCTTGCCATCTTTGTTTCTTTTTCCAGTCATGAAGATCAGACCTACAGCCTCACATAGGCTAGGCCAGCAGAAAGTCCCCATCTCCATCTACTATTGAGGACAAGGACTCAGAGATGCCACTTGTCATGGTCTCATCATTAAAAGTGTCTGCACCTTTATGCTCTTTCCATTTCACAAGCCAAGCGAGATGGTGCAGGAAATCAGGATAGCTCGGGAAATATTAACAACCTCATTGCTTTCATCTCAGGTAAAGTCTGGCAGCATCTTCGACAATTTCCTTCTTACAAATGATGAAGCGTTTGCTGAAGAGGTTGGCAATAAAACCTGGGGAGAAAGAAAGGTAAAGTGTCCCCCACCCTGGATTTCAGATATCTCATTCCTTAGTTGGGCCCTGTTGTGCGCATCCTTAAAATCAGCCTCATAGTCATTGTCCCACTCCTGGTCACATGGCCTTGGAGCAGTGGGACAAATAGTTCACCTCGTTGGATATCTACAACTCTGTACTTGTGACTTTGTGAGCACTTTGCAAAATATATTCACTTAGTACTTAAAATGACGGCAATTGCAGTAGTTGGTAAGCTGAGGCAGGGGATCATTGTGAATTCAAGGCCAGCCAGGGCTACATAGTGAGTTCAAGGCCAGCCTACACTACATAGCAAGACCCTGTCACAACACAACCCAAAACAAACAAAACATCACCTAGCAGATAGAAGAACTGAGATTCAGAGTAGTATATATTTTAACTTGTTGAGTTAGAATCTGAACCCAGAACTCATAGTCGTTTTGGGCATGATGCAACTTGCTCACAGTGTAATAACTTGAAGGAATCCTTTTCAAATGGAGGAAGGAGAGAATGATAGAGCTGTTTACCAACTCCCTCCCCTCCCAGAGCTATTTTATGGGTGGAGTGATACTTGGGACAGTATCCTCATGATGGTGACACTTGTATTACAACATTCTTGCTCTTCAGGAAGGTGCATTCAAGCAGGTTTTTGTCTGTCTCGTTACTCTTCTCTTGTTGCTGGGACAAATACCCGACACTCAAAACTAGGGAAGGAAAGGTTTATTTAGCTCACAGTTAGTGGAGGTTTCAGGCCATACTCAGCTGGCCCCAAGGCAGAGCAGCACAAGGCAGAAGGGAACCTTTCATGGTGGCAAGAGTGAAGGGAGTGGCTGCAGCTCAGGCAGCTAGCCAGCCTCTCTCCCCTCCTTACATTGTAATGCAAATTCCCTGCCCCAGGGCAGGTGCAGCACCCACACCCACAATAATCAATCACAACTCCAGAAGCCTTCCTATGACTGCATCAGGCCTTGGGGGGGACAGCTAGACACAAACCACAATAGTGGCCAATGCTCATGTTGAAGAACACTAACAAACCATAGTCATGGTTTGCTATATGTATCTATAGATATCTATAGACATAAGTATTGTTTTTTGAGAGATATTAGATACTTGATATTTTGGAAAGAAAAAGCATTGCCATAATTGTCATGGAGAAAAATTACTAAACTTTTTTAAAAATGTATTTGGTACAGGGTCTCATTAGACAGCTCAGACTCGTAGTGATCTTAACTTTCTAAAATACTTTTTAGATAGGTTTTGTCTTGTTTTACTTTGGAGTTATCATTAATATTGTTTTATTGAGTTGCTATTACGTATTGGTTAAGAGCAAGAGTTTTGGTTTAATTTTTTTTTTTTTTTTTTGTGGAACTGGGCATTGAACTCAGGCCCTTGCACTTGCCAGAGAAGCGCTTTTTCCGCTGAGCCATCTCCCCGGCCCCAAGAGCAGGAGTTTTGGACCTAGGCTGCTCAGGTTCAAATCCAGGCTCCATCCTTTAGGAGCAGTGTGAACTTGGGCTAGTTGTATTGACCCCTGTTTATCTCAGTTGGGTGCAATGACAGTAAGTACAGTACTCTCAGATCCTGGCATGGGATAGGCGCTCACTACAGAATAACTGTTAGCAGGGCTGGGGAGACAGCTCAGTGGAATATGTGCTTGCCTTGCAAGCACAGGATCCTGAGTTATATCCCTGGTACCACCAAAAAAAAAAAAAAAAAGCTGTTAGCTTTCAGCCACACAGTCACATGACGAATATTTGCTGAGTGTCTGTTTAAAGTACTGTGGTAGCAGCTGGAGGTACAGCGTGAAGTAACACAGAGAAGTTTTTGCCTGCCATGGGTCTTCTGTTCAGTGTGGAGGAAGCAATAAGAAATATGTGGAGTTCAATCTTCGGACTCCTCATCTTGGAAGTGGAATAAATGACATCTCATACAAGGTTGTAAGGAATACAAGCAATGTCCTTTGCCAGACATGGTGGTGCACAAAGTTGTTTTTTTTTTTTTTGGTGGAACCTGGGATTAAACTCAGGCCCTTGCGCTTGCTAGGGAAGTGCTTATTCCACTGAGCCATCTCCTCAGGCCCTAACTTGGGAAGCTGAGGCAAGAGGATCACTGTGAGTTTGAGGCCAGCCTGGGTTGCAGAGTGAGCTCAAGGTCAGCCTGAACTGCGTAGTGAAGCTCTATCTCAAAAAGACAAACAAAAACAAGTAATGTCCTTAGGTTCTTTAGTCCTGTGTTTAGCATGTGGGAGGTATTCAATAAGTTGAGTGAATCTGGCCAATTTTATTTATAAACAAATTGCACACATATGTACACATATATTTTTCTCTGCCCCTACATACTGAAAATTTGAATGTAAATAAACACCATCCTAGAAATATTTAAGACAATGAAAAGACAACAGATTTCTGTTTGTTTTTTGAGACTGGGTCTTGCTGCATAGTTACGGGGGTCGTTGAACTCACCACGTAGCCCAGGCTGGCCTTAAACTAGTGGCAATCCTCCTGCCTCAGCCTACTGAATCCTGAGTGTGAGGGTCACAGGTGTGTGCCACCGCACCCAGCCACAACAAATATTTCTAAAGGGGGTTAGCTCTGCTTATAGCATCTGTAAATTGATTTGAAATTCTACATTTTACACAGGATGTAGAGAAACAATGGAGAGAGTTATATGAAGAAATGGAAAAAAGAAGACAGGAAGAAGAGGCCAAGAAGAAAAAAGAAAAAGAAAAGGAACGAGAAGATGACATCTGGGGACTTCACACAGAGGATGATGAAGAGGACGAAGGGGAGGTTGAGGAGGAACCTGAAGATGAAAGGCAGATGAAAGAAGCTGATGGTGGAAAAGCATTTCTGGGTAAAAATGGAGCAGTCCATGTTGACCAGAAAGATGAACTGTAACTAGGGGGGAAAGGTGACCCACAGAAGCAAGTGAGGCGTTGGAAGAAGAGGCATTCACACGGCTAGCAACACTAGGGGAGCAAGTGAATTCTGTCTTTGTAAATAAAGTTGAGTTCCTATTTCCCCCACCTCGTTTGCTCTGCATAATCTTAGAAAAGCCACATCCCATTTGGGGGCTATTTCCTTGTTAGTGGAAAGAGTGGTCAGTCATTTCTATTTTCCGGAGGTTGTTGTAGGGAATAAATGAACTAATGTGTGTAAAGTGCCTAATAGAAGTATGCAGTCAGAAGAGTAGCCGCAACTACTGTTATTGTTGTGTTTATTAAATTAATTGTTGGGTGAATAAGCTTCTGCATGAACTTGACCCTCACTTTCAATTTATCCCATAGACCTAGGAATTTTATTTTGTTTAAATACCTGTATTACTTGGTATTTACTGAGTAGCACTGACGGTTGTACAATGAATTTTCCAATATGTTGAACCAATCAGACTTTTTTTTTTTTTTTTTGAGACAGGGTCTCACTGTGTAGTCTGGGTTGACCTTCAGTTCACTATGTAGCCCCAGCCCAGGCTGGCCTTGAAGTTGCAGCGACCTTCTTGCCTCAACTTCCCAGGTGCTAGGTAATTATCATAAGTGTGTGTCAGGCTGGACATATAGCTCAGTGGCATAGAGCCTGCCTGGCAAGTGTGAGGATGCAAGTTTGAGGCTCAGAGCCAAAAAAAAAAAAAAAAAAAAAGCAAGTGTATGCCACCATGCCTAGTTAGATTTCCTTTTCTATATTTTAAATTTAAAAAGTTTAAGTTAGAATTTACATTAAAGGGTTGGGGAGATAGCTTGGTGGCATAAACACCTGCTTGGCAAGTGCAAGGTCCTGAGTTGGATCCCCAGTACTGCATGCCAAATGTCCAGGAACGCCAGATGTGCTGTGTCAGCCCAAAGCCCAGCGTGGTGGCACAGGCCTGCAATCCCAGCACTGGCGAGGCTGAGACAGGAGGATCGCTAAGAGTCTGAGCTGCACAGAGAGATTCCATATCAAATGAATAATAAAATAAAGAGCTAAAATTCACAGTAAACTATGGCTAATTTACTATTTTCATTTTTCAGCCGGGGAGATAGCTCAGCGGCATAGGCTCCTGCCTGACATGTGCAAGGTCCAGAGTTTAATCCCCAGGACCATTAAAAAGAAAAAAAAATATTTGAAATATTATTTTCATTTTTTTTATTACACTGAGTATGTTATCTTCAAAGTAAGTTACTCAGAATACAAGATATAAGCCAAAAAGATTCTTATAAAAAAGAAACATGACACAAATCTTTTCCATAAACTGAGATAAACTTGTAGTAAAAATGAAGCCAGTTAGCATATACTTTGAAATATTTTTAAAAGAATGGAATTTGCCGTTTGAGGAAGTATTTGAACATTTTTTTTTTTTTTTTTTGCAGAACGGGGGATTGAACTCAGACCCTTGGGCTTGCCAGGGAAGCGCTTATTCTACTGAGCCATCTCCCCAGCCCTGAACTTCTTATTTCCTATTTATTTTGATCTTTTTTTGTTTGTTTGTTTCTCATATAGGAGAAATCTGAGCTACTTGAGCCTCTGTGTATGGCGATTTCATCTAACATGTCCTTTACTGTAAGGCAAAACACTTGGCAAAAGTCTCTTTGATTCTGTGTTGTTTTGTGCCCTAATTTAAAAATAATTGTTACTTATTTGCAAGTTCACTGGTCTCAAATTTATCTTTCCGGAACCACCTACTCACAAAGTAATCACTTGCGGATTACAAAGCGCCTTCCTTTCCCACGGGCTCCTCCTCTGAGGTGGCGTTTTCATCTTCGCAGCTGCCAAAGGATACCATTATTATCTTCACTGTAGAGGATACCTTTATTATCTTCATTTTACAGGTGCAAGAAACCACTCAGAGCAGGCAAGCCGCTTGCTTGGGGGCTGTTAGCAAGGGGAAGCGCTCCTATCTGAGCTCAGGTTATCTGGCTTCAACTTATCCTTCCACCACACCAGGCTTTTGAATGAATATCTATTGCTTTTGAATGCAGAGTAGGCAACATTATACATGACAGAAATGCCCCATGGAGTGTATTTCTTTTCTTTTCTTCCCCCCCCCCCAACCAGGGATTGAACTCAGGTCCTTAAACTTGCCAGGCAAGTGGTTATTCTAATGAGCCATCTCCCCGGCCCGGAGTATATTTCTTAAAAAAAAAAAAAAAAAAAATTACATCCAACAGCCAGGGAAACAGGCCCAGACATACATTATATAGTTCTGTAAGCTATAGCAAAAGGAAACAGATATAAATTTGGAACACAATAAGTACTCATTAAATATTAGTTGGAAACAATGAACACAACTCTGCCTGGTGGCTTTGGGGAGAACCTCATGAAGGAACCAGTTTTGGAGACAGATCTCAATGCAATATTTTAATGCAGAGTATCAGTCTTGTCTGATGGAGATGGGACTAGATTTCATAGTCAAAAGCTGGGTGCGAACTGGGCATGGTGGCATGTGCCTATAATCCCAGCACTTAGGAGGTTGAGGCAAAGGATCATTGTCAGTTCAAGACCGGCCTGGGTTACAAAGTGAGTTCAAGGCCAGCCTGAACTTCATAGACCCAGTCTGAAAAAGAGAAAGAAAAGAAAGGAAAAGAAAAGAAAGGAAGGAAGGAAGGAAGGAAGGAAGGAAGGAAGGAAGGAAAGAAAAAAAGGAAGGAAGGAAGCGCTGGGAGCACGGATCACAGGGAGTGGGATAGTGATGTTAGGAAAGAGCAATAGAAATGCCCTCCTTCTTTCCTGCAGGCTGGTGCCCAGTATAGTTTCTGGACCTTAAAAGCCTTTAGAATATTCTGGAATGGAAAATTTGACTTTATATTTAATTTCTATAGTGAAAATCTTCTCATTGTGAAAAGAGTAAAGCTTCAGGCCCTGAGCCTAAATATCTTGTCTTTAGACTGGAGGGCTACTGTCTGAGTGATGTCTATTTTCAGGATGCTGATAAAGGCATTGTTTATGACAGATGTCTACTCTGATTGGTCAGGTGTATGCTTGGCCAGTTGTCACATACTTTTAGTAGTGCCAGCTAAAGACGATGACTTTCGTGCAGAATTTTGAGGGGAGACTGGACAATAGATTCATTTGAATATTTTTAAAAGTACTTTAATTATTTATTTATTTGTTTGATGCAAGATTTCACTACACAGCTCAGATTACTAGTTTCCTCCTGTCTCAGCCTCCCTGGCACTGGGATTACAGGTGTGAACTACCACACCTGGTTCCAGGGCTGGCACAGTATGTGGTACCCGGGGATAGAACCTAGGTCCTTGCACTTGCCAGGTAGGCACTTAGACTACCGAGCTATCTCCCCAGCCCCAACTTGAATATTCTTGATGCAACTTCTCCCACCTTTGTTAACTTTTCTTTTGCCTTTTATTTTGATTGTGCAAACATCATTTTGAAAATCAAGATAATTTTCAGGTTGGAATGTAACCAAATGGCAGAACAATTGCTTAACATGTGCAAAGCTGTGGGCTAAATTTCCAACACTGAAAAAGAAAAAAAGCACTACAGAAATCAGGGTGATTTTATTTATTTTTATTTTTTTAATGTGTTTAGTATAGGGTCTACAGGGTCTCACTATACAAATCGGACTCATAGTGATCCCCGTTTTCAGCTTCCCACCATTGGGATTATAGGTGGGTGCCACCATACCCAGTCTTAGTCACATCACAGCCTGCCCCAGGGGCAGGGCTGGCATGACATACTAGGGATAGAACCATGGGCCTTGTACCTGCCTAAGCAGGAGCTTTAAAAGGCTGATCTGGCCAGTCTTGTTTTGTTTGTTTGTTTGTTTGTTTGTTTTTTAATCAGAAATAAAATTCAAGGCCTTGTGTTCGCTAGACAGGCTCTTGTGCTACTGAGCTATGTCCCCTGCCCTCCCCCAGGTAAATTTTTATTTATTTTTTTTATTTTTATTTTATTTATTTATTTATTTTTTTTGAGAAGGTCTCACTATTGCAGTTCAGGCTGGCCTTGAGCTCACTTTGTAGCCCAGGCTAGTCTTAAACTTGAAATGATCCTCGCACCTCAAACTCCTGAGTGCTGGGAGTACAGGCATGCACCACGATGCCTAACCCAGATAATTTTTGAACATATTCTGATTATACATTTAATTTTCCAAAGTAATAGATGGTCATGTAAAAAAAACTGTATTAAAAAGAAAGCTCTCGCCCCTTCCGCCACAGCAACCATTGAAAAAGAGTAGCCATGGCCCTC